CTATGAATTGTAACTTCTCGGTTACATTCATTTAATCTTTGAACCAGAGAAGCATCAAGCCAGATTTCCAACCACAAGGTACGAAATCTCTTTAATGAGTGAGCCTCGTATGACACAAATTCCTAAAAAACGTTGTTTAATGTGTATTATAATAGTTATTGTAATAGTATTGTTAGTATGCCCAAAATAAACTTTATGTTCATCATTTTATTTCAGACAGAAAAAAAAAATGAATTGCTCTAAGGTGCAGGGTGTGCGAAGTACGTTAACTTTTCATCACATTTTGATTTTCTATGGCATGAAAATGAACCGTTAAAAATATTGCCACATTTATTATATCTTTTCCGGTTAATACCATAGTTTCTGTCGATACAACGTTTTCGTAACAAATATCTTTGAATTCTCTGAACTTTACAAAATAAAAAGCAGGGTTTAAGATCACAAACAAGCAAAAAAAGCTCAGACAAATAGGCCAAAAAAACCGAACAATCGTAAGCTAATCGTACGAAATATCAAATTTAAAAACAATTGTTGAAAAGTTACTCACTTTCGTGTTCGCACGCTCCCTTGCTTGTACTTAAAGACATGTCCACAGGCTTTGTTATTTAACACTTGAACACGGCTGGTAATTTCTGAATTAAAGTATATCAAATTGTTATGTAGGGTAGGCTAGGTAGCCTCTATACCAAGGTGCGCTGCTAGCCTCGTTATGATGTTTATATAAAGAATGACTTTCAAAATAAACGACTATTCTGTTGTTGTGGTACGTTGCTGTCTACTTGTTGAAACACAAATGTCATGGAAACACTTCATATGGGACCAGTCAATCACCGTGGAGGTAGATAACTTTTTTGGTTGGATCACATGGTTTTCAGGGGGAACTGAGCGGGGATCAGTCGTTGCCAACAAAGTATATATTACAGAGTATTATGGGGGATCAGTTAAAAATTATCGTAACACAACCGAGATCCTCCGACCTACCCTCCCCAGGCCATAAATAATGACCCCTGTCTAAAAAGGTCTAGTTTTTAATGAGTACCGAATCTATCCATGAACATGGATTGAAGCACTGTGAAAAATTTTCGCCAGTAATAGGTCAGCAACTGGCACACGAGTATTTTGACGTGATTTCTTTTTCTTTTCTTTTTTTTTTTTTCTCATCATTTTTTACATTTTCACTAACCATACTTATCAGAGTTCAAAGGTGTGATCCACAGTCTCACTGGACCATAATGAAATTGAGCTTCGTTTGTAGGAACACTTCCGGTCCATGACAAGCCACTGTCACTCCAGGAACCAATCAGATTATTCCATATTCCTTATAAAATAACAGATAACATATTTGTCATAGGACCCCGGCGCACTGAGCCGACAAAATTTGTCTTGCTCCACCAAAAATCTCTGCAAAATTTGTCTCCGCCAAATTTTCAATTTTTCAATCGCGGGCGCACTGAAAAAGTGTTTATGTCATGGATAAACAAATTGAGCAGTACTTGGAACTGGGATTAAGCTTAAACGTAAATTTGGGGGCCATAACAGTTTTATTCTGAGTATCCTGGGTACTGATCGTCTTGCAGCATCCGGAGGTACAAATCTTCCATTTTCACCGTTTGATTCCCGCGTAAAGATAAAATATTTTGGCGTAAAGAAGAATAGCTACTTTTCCGTTTAATCACCTCCAGTCATTTCTATCGCCATAATGACTTGACGTCCAGGTGGATAACTTTTTTGTTGTTTTTCTTTTAAAGATTTTTCCAAATTAAAGTTACAGTTCGTTAAAAGGAAAACTCAATAAGCGCCCCCCTCGATTAAGCGCTTTCCTTCCAATAGGTGCCCCTCCTCTTTTCCCCAAAATTTAATTAAGTGCTCGGGCGCTTACTCGAGGAAAAAAGTATTTCATCTGAGCACAACGGTTTTTCCGTTTTAAGGATCGATATCAGGTTTAAAACTCACCTTGAGAATCGATTTCTATCACCATCGTAGAGGTGCCTACGAGGACAATGAACGACCAGTGGAAAAGAGTCATATCGGAAGGTTCAAAGATCAACCATTCGTCTCCAAAGGTAATCCTTCGACGGCAGCAGACGGAACGAAATGATTGCATGCGAGGTAGTAATAGTCTTTTCATTAGAGGTTGTCATCGAATATCTTTTACTGGGCTTCTAACATTTCACCTTGTTCAAATATTGAAGGAGTTTGTGATCATAAACCCTGATGCTCTAGCAAGTAGACACGCCAAAAGCTTACCAAAACTTCTCATCGAAATCAGTGTAGAAACAATAAAGATCTTTGTGAACTCCAGATCTGCAAAACATTCTGAAACGATCTGAAAATTGTTGTTGCGTAGCAAAAACGAATATTTCTTAAAGGTGTTTTCTTTGGGCTTCGACGTAACTGATAGAAGTTTTGACAACCAGCCCCAGAGACCATCAGAGAAAATGTCCAGGGTGTAAGTTTGCGGCTTTTCAAAACACCAGCAGCCAAGATAATCGACAAGGTGTACTTTTCGGCGAGAGAACAGGTTTACATATGCGTATGCTTTGTTTGCTTCTGAGACTGTGATAATAGCGTGCATCATCGATAACTGTCTCCTAGACAAATGATAAAAAAAAGGTTGATGACACAATAGTATTTTCGGCCTTTCACCAAGAACAATGTTGTATGAGAAAACTTCTGTAACGGAAGACTGTTTGTGTACCTTATTAGAAGTAGTAAGTTGTTGTTTGATCAAGAACATTACTGTTTACCTTACATCGAAAACAATCCGGCAACATTTCCGCGTATAACTGCATACTTAGACTCACTATCCAAACAATTATTGGGTGCAATAAAAATGTGCGAAAGTGTAAAACGTAAATAAATATAAAGCCGCAACATCAACATGTCACCAAGACTTGTAAAACAACAATATAGCAATTCTACTCATGTAACCTTCTAGCTCACCAGACCTGATGAGAAATTCGCTAATACAGCTTTCACGCATTTATTACCGTAAGAGAGTTTGGTTACAACAGGGCAACACACTCCGACTGACATGTCCTGCTACTCTCTATACGTGGTTGCTGGATAAAGAGAGGAAATTGTAGGAAAAAACGTCTTAAGACTATGATCTCGTTGAATTTGATGGCGTTGTTAAAGTTGTTAACAGCGTCGTTACGCTAACGAAGTCGTCAAAATCCTTAACACTGTAAAGTTATCAATGTCCAGAGGTTAACGACGGCGTTAAACGTTTTTTGACGTCGATATGATTATGACGCCATTACTGTAGCTTTAGTGTTCACCAATGGCCGGACTTCTTTAATAAACGGCGTCGTAGACTTAATAACGATGTTATGCTATATATTTTGTTTACAGATCGAGTCCATTAGCGACCTTTCTACTCGATATACAAATATTTTGTCTTTCTTTCTTGTATCCGGCAAACATTTTTTTTTTTGCGTCTAAATCTCGTTTGGTTTCAAAACTAAGCAAATGTAATTTACTTGGGTAGAAACGTTCACGCAGCTATCCTTTTAACAACTTAGAAATCTTCCTGGAATAACAAATTAGTTCCATCTAACATCTGTCCCTAGATGGGTGGAAATAAAATAGTCTCGAACAATTCTGAACAGAAATGGCATATCATTTGTTAAATTCATTGTTCATGAATCCATTTTGAGGACATGCTATTTCACTCTTCAATCTCCAAGCTGGATCTGGACGTCAAATAAATTTATAGCTTTTCATTTTTATAAGAGTAGAGTATGGCACAAATATAAATGCAACGCTGAGTCTAAATGCCCGGCAGCTAGGCACGGTCTTACGTACTAAATGTCTGGAAGTCAGGAATTTTCACAGAAATTCTACTCAAAGGTTCTTTCAAACTTTTAAAGAGTATCAGATATTTTTTTAGAAATGTCAAGTGATTATAAATACTCTTGGGTTTTTTTAGCAGACACATTTTTGCCGAGTGTCACGTAAGGAGCGTTTGATCTGCTCGTGGAGTCAATCCCTATCCTCTTCCTGACATGTTCTTGTTGCCCTCGCACGAAGTCAAGAGCCGTCTCGTAACAATTAAGAGGGACCAAAAGATAGCGTTAAGAATTATAAGCAGAAACAAAAACCCTTGAGAGAAGCGTAACGTTTATCATTAGTAAGACAGACTGAAATCACAGTAATATTTTCACGTGCACTTCATCAGAAGTAACACCCGATGGCCACCAATTAAACTTGAAAGTCACTTGAAACAGGAACTAAAGTGTAACCGCGCTTGATGTTACTCTATACCTTAAAAACATATAAACAATTTACTCTCTTATCGAAAAATGAAAAATTCATTAAAGAGACTGAGTTTTGATCTCAATCGAAGGATTTATCGCCAACAGATTTTATTTGCGAATTTGATCACCAGTGGTGTCGTTAGAGAAAATCACGAGCAAATTTTCCTATTTATTTAAATAGTGCTATTTTTGGACCAATCACTGTGATTTCGCGATTCAACTTTGTTCTGTGTGTTTAGGCTGTGTCTAAAAAAAACTGGTTGTTTGACCTCACTGGCAGTTTGTGGCGTTGAACGGAGAAATTATGCAGAAATTGGCACATTGGACAAATCTCGGACTGTAGGTGCTGCGGAGAGTCTACTTGTCCCGGGTCGTCCTTAAAAAACCTTATCATCAGTTTCTATACACCAACACGTGAAAGTTATCTGAGATAAAGAAACAAATTTACGTATTAGACTTGGTAATCATAAACACAGCGTGCACTTCGGGCATCAGCAAGTTTACCGACTGATCGCAGTGATCGGCCCGTTAGGATATAACATCGCTGTACATATTGTCTGTTCACAACTCTACAGCCCTAGTCTTAGCCGCAAAGGTGAACTATGGTCTTCTTTTTGGAGAATGAGCTTTGAGATCTCGGGAAGTTGACATACTTAGTAACGTATACAAATGTACAGAACAATCGCGATCACGACAATACCTAATGCCAGAAGTAGTCTTTCTAATCTAAAACTCACGAAGTAAGAAATGGCAGCGCTTAAACCACTTTTCGGGTTATTTCGAGAAGCTTGTTCCACTACGGCGCTTGCATAGTGCTCGGATACTGACAAAGTCCTGAACAACGCTTGGATTTCCGTTCCCCTAATGTCGTTCTCTTGAACAGCGATCTCCTTGGCGAACCGCTTCGCAAACTCTAAACAGTCGTCGATGATCAGTCGATACTTCAATGGAACAACAGTCAAGCACAACAACTGCAGGTATAAGTACGCCATAGCCGATTCTCGAACGTAAAAACTCCGAGATTTCTTCAGCCATGGCATGTAAAACATGTTGCGTGTAAGAATGTACTTGTTGCCAGACTCGTCTAAGCAGACGTGATACTGCTGTAAAGGGATCGTAGCAGCCATTCTTTTCACAGTTTCGAAATCTTCCCGGAATGCCAAATTAGGTCCATCTAACATCTGTCCCCAGATGGGTGGAAATAAAATGGTCTCGAACAATTCTTTGTCGACAACAACGATCGATGCATGCCCCTTAAAGATGTTTATAAGAACATATTTGTCTTTCTCCACAGACATTTCGTCCTTTGCTGCTTTCAGATCGAAAACACTCTTGCCTTGCTTACGCAAACGATCCGCGATCTCCACAAGACCTTCTTCAAACAAACTCTTGTCGATATTTTCTCCGAACAAGGAGGCAGCCATATTAGAATGATGGGAAATTAGTCGACGTGTGCAGTCGTTTCCCAGATGTCACATGATCAATGAAGCAAGGAAATTTATCATTGGTTTATTTCCGGTGCAATTTTGAAACTCTTTCGATGTAAATTAATCGACGAAGAATTCACTAGACTCTATTTGTATGAGAAATTCTTCGAAGAAACGTCATCAGATCATTTCTGTTACAACAGAGGCTTTTGTTCCAACACTTCTGGAAGCGCCGAAAAGAAAAGTAATCAAAGTGTCTCCTATCATTTATTTTTCAGTCTATTAAGATACATGAAAAAATTACCTAGTTCTGATTCGTTAAAATAAATGCAGTTTTCTGGTAATTCAGTACAGAAGAGGGTAAATTCAGCGCAAAGAAGTAACAAACCAGACTGAACAATTCCTTGAACTGTTCAGCCGGACTTTGAACTTTTTTGCGCCTTAAAGATGTGAAGATATCGTTGTATATTATTGTTTTGATCGTGCGCGGTTGTTTTGACCGAACGCACAAGGTCACTTGCAGGGTTTGAATAAATTATTTTAGTACTTGATGCGCGCGCTTTGCTTCTGCATAATTATGATAAGCTATCTCGTATTTTTTCATGTATATTATTAATACGTAATCACATAATTTCTCTCGTGCAATTTGGAATAAATAGGCACTTGTAAATTTTTTCAAAGACCACAAATCGCACTCACCCTGCGGGCTCGTGCAATTTTGTTAGTCTTTGAAAAAATCTACTCCTGCTTATTTATTCCAAATTGCACTCGAAATTATGTGATTATCTATACTAAGTAGACTGAACAGTGAACAGGTTTCAAAGACGGAAAAGCACTCCTGATTTCAGAACACAATGAAGGAATAAGAAAGACAAGGAGGAAAGTAGCATGTGGGATTATTTAGCTGACAACGTTGGAAACCATTTTCCGAAAATGATGGTCTCGACCGCTCAGAAACTATTAAAGACACATACAGAACTCATAGATGAATGTAGATGATGATAATGGTCATCCATACGGTAGATAGATGCTGATTTAGAAAATGTATTGAAAATTTAATTCGTCAGTGCTTGATTCGTAACCGTCACACATTGTTTTACATTACTATAATAAGTTTTACATGGTTGTACATGTCAACATACCATCCATGCAAGACTTACTATAGTTATGTAAAACATTGTATGACGGTTACGAATAAGGCACTGGAAAATGAAAATTTCAGTACATTTTAGACTGAAAATCTAAATCTAGTAAAATGATTTGCCAAAGCATAGAAATGTAGTGTTTTTCCTGCCTATCCGGGCCGTTTTAAACGTCTTTCATTTTTAATCAATCACTCATGATGGTCCGCCTGTGGTTGGAAAAAGTTTGCTAACAACACCATGGCACACTATATTTGCATTGAACGCCAAATTCATCGTTCAGTTGGTGGGCGTTGGCGATAAATTTAGCACGTAGGAATCTAGTTTTTCTTTAGTACTAAAACTGATATGAAACTAAAAAGTTTTCCGTAGAAATTGCAGTCAATTAGGATTAGCACAATTCGAGATGTCAACTCGTTGCTTTACAGCTTTAAAAACGGCTTCTCTTTGTCAATGGAAACAACTTGTTTTAACACCATTTTAAATGCCTTTCACTGATTGGAAAGCCGACGACGAATATATTGAGAACCTGATTGACACTCGTAGATTTCTGCATTTATTTAAAATGTAAAACATTTACTGGTTTTAATTTTAATCAAAAACGTTCTATCTGACTAAATAAATACAAACTAAAAATAGGTAAATTTTACCCTTTTTTCTATCAAATTGAGAGAATTGGCGAATCAAGGAAAAATTTTGAAGTCTTTTTCCGTTCTTCAACCACGTTTTCCATAACGGTGACGAGTTGTCAACTTACTCGTTACTTAGTAGTCAGGTACTCGTTTTCATTCAGTATTATTCTTTAAAATAAAAAATAACAAATTCATTTTTCATTTGATTCCCTTTAAATGTAAATTGTTCCGTAATCCATAGGGCGATAGAGGTTTCAATGGGCGATTGTAAGATACGAATAGAGTGAAATTGTAGTCATAAATTAGCATAATGTCGATAAATGTCACCTTGCTTAAACAAACTGACGGATGAGCAAAATGCATGAAGCTTTTACGGTAGGGAATCAGTGAAACGACAACGTCAGTTTATCTCACGGACAAATTTAATGCAACTAGCGCGCGGAGATTTCAACTTAGCTTACAAAACGGAAGAACTAGACCACCTGCAATCTCTATTCCTGATCGGATTTCAGTTATTGTTTGACTTTAAAAAATTTAAAAATCGCGAGATAATCAGCAAATGTCAAACAAATTAAAAAAGAGAAGAAAGTGAGGTATAACTTGTCACTTGCGCTGTTTTTGGGGACGGAGACCGGGCTTAATTTCTTGAAAGAAGCTTGCTGTAATTATTAGAATTTTGCATTTACTTCGTATTTTCAAACGGTGCAAAAAAAAAAAAAAAATGCCTCCCTTTGAAAGTTTCCCACATAATTAATTTTGGGAGACAATTTTTTTTACAGATCTGTCAAATTGTGCCAGGTTAAAAATTACTCCTTCGTCTATAATTGCTTTTAGTTTTAATTACGTCCGCAAAAACGCCGATTTTCCAACAGATGTCGATCAGCCTAGTAGGCTCATTGCCAGCTTTCCCGTTCACGGAATTAAATGTTTTTGTTATTATGAAATCTCAATTTTTCCAGGCGAGTTCCTCGGCTACTCAGTTTCCTGAAGGTTGAAAGCTGTTGAAAGCTGAGTGTATTCAGTCTCTTCCCGGCATAAACCTTGAAAGCCCTTTAAAATAAAGTAGTTTAATACTTAAGGTATATGTATAATTATTATATATTTCTTGTTTCTTCGAATTCGGCAGACTCGTGTTTAAGTTTGAACTGATCATGCCTTTCACTGTGGATTCGGGATGTTTGTCTGTTTACTGCACAATCTCTAATTATTGATTTATGAGCAACACGGTTTCTCCGTCTTCTCTTGTACACATCGGGTAGAAGCTTATTCAAAATAGCTAGAAATCCAGTCCGGAATTGTCTCCTCATGCAGAAATAGATAACGGGCTTCAGCGCGCATGGTAGAAATATGCTATATGTTGACATCAGTGATGCTTGTCTTGGCATTTCTATCCCAACGGCTGCCAGCAGAAAAAGCAGCAAAATCGGAAACCAGCACAGGAGTACCATGATTACAACTGAAAACAGAGTTTTGGCCGAGTCGATTTCCTCAGACGCAATGGAAGTCACTGATGTAAACGACTTTATACGTTTGTTCATCTCGATCAGAAGCTTCACCCTCACAAAGCATGCAATAATAACAAAAACTGGCAGACCGATCACTAATAGTGTGAAAACCGCGGCGTAGAACAAATTAGAACCAAAGAATATAAAACACATGGCGTTTCCTGGCAAGAAGAGGAAATCTCCCCATCCCAAAAATGGTGGAAAAGCACATAACGCGGCGAAACTCCAGATTAGTATTATCATCCATGTGATGTTTTGCTTTCTGAAGACGTTCATGTACCTTAAGAGGCTCGTTATCAAGAAATATCGGCTGATGCTTATCGCTGCTAGAGTTATAATTGAGACTGTCAGGAGGAGACAGCTCACATAGGCGACCATGGAACAAAGAGCATTTCCAAAAATCCACCTTCCTGTTATGAGAACAACCACACCGAATGGAACACAAAGAACAGTTGCCATCAAATCCACAAAAATCACGTTAAGAAGAAGCAAATTGTGCCATGTGCGAAGACGTGGGCTCGTATACATAATGAAACACGAGAAAATGTTGCCAGTTGTTGATATAACAAAAATAACGGCTAAAACAATAGTTTCGATAACTACAAGGTAGGTTGGTCGCTCTAAAAGATCTCTTGCCGCTTTCCAGCTGCTTACGTTTAGATCTGTCATGATGAACTTGAAAAACGAACCAAAAATTTTCAGTTTTTTAACTCTTCAGGAAAAGCTCCCTACCCCTTCTGCTACCGAAAATTACTTAAAACTTAAGGAAGTTCCAACTACCGACCATAAATCTCCTCTGGATGCTGTCTGCATGCGGTTCACCCACTGTTATAACAGACTTTCCATCAACGCTACTGGCTGTGAGCTCAATTGACTTTTCATATACACTTCATGTACTGAATATCCTAAACCCTCACGTCAAAAAATTTTTCTCTATAACCTTTTCCTCTCTTTTTTGTCCTGTCATTTGCGTAAGTCATCGGCGATCTGAGGTTTTAATTCGCGGCGAAATATAATTATTTAAATAAGATGCCTTTTCTCCGCCTAATTTGAAAGTAATATTAGTCATGCTTTGCGATTCCTGTTTAGATATTAATGTCAAGAAGGGAAGAAACAGACTGAACTTTTAATTAAAGCGTTATTTGAACACATGTTTTAGTTCTAGGGCAGCTGGTGCTACACTCTCTTTACCCAAAGGTTTTGTCTTATCATATTTGACTTCAACTGTGATGTTTCTCTGAAATTTTTTGAGCACAGAAATCTGAATCTGAAGTCATCTTGGGAAAGTCTGCGATATTTCGAGTAGTATTTTTGCATTGTTATCTTTATTCAAACATTTAAAATTTTACGTTAAAAGAACATGTTAGAATGTCCTGACTGACTTTAGTTGTCAAGATGTGTTCATTCGTGAATCTGGCATTGCGCTTAAGCCGCTCGTTGATAGCTTGTCAAAACATATTTACCGTGATACATGCCCAGGACTTGAGCTAAAGGAGGCTTGTTTTTCCACTCCTGCCAGGCCTATTTATCCCGGTGAGCCATAGATATCTTTTAATATACGCAAAAAAACAGTTTTCTGATTGGCTGGAATTTTTTCCATTTAACATTTCACACGCGGACATGGCGAATAAACAACACCAAGCTTTCGCCTGTTTTCAAGTCATTAAAAGTCATTTCAAAACCGCACGTTCAATATCTCTTTTTCACGGCTCGAAAATTTTTCGAATACTTTCTGGTATCGTCTCATGAAAACTATAAATATAAGCCGATACAAGTTAAAATTTTCCCTTTAAATGTTAATAAATATTCTAATAAAGATGATTCTGTAAACGTGACCCGTGGACAAGTCCTAATTCCTGGTGTAATGTTATTAATGTAGAAGAGTGTTATTTGTTTTGTCATGAGCTTGGGACAAAGAATTCGAAAAAATTACTATTTGCTATCTTTCGTATTTCATTGGCTCACACGACGCTTTGAACAATGCTACTACAAACGGTATTCAGATCCCGTATAGAATATGAGAAATCGAGTTCTTCTTTGCTCAGTGGTTAAAAATCGAAGCACAAATTCGAAGATCTGAGGTTCGTTTGTCGTGGAAGACTTTTTTTTTCGTTTCAAGTTCCAGAACTTACCTTTCTTTAATCGATGACTACGAGTTGAAAAATTTACCATCTTTCTCCTTCTATCAAAAGGCGGTGTTTATTATTTCATAGCAACGAAGGTCATTGAATCGACTAATTTTTTTAAACGCAAATACACGGGGCAACCGGTCAGAAAACACAGTTGTGTGTTGATAAATGACAGAGAGACAAATGAAAATGAACAAATAAAACTAAATAAATAGTTATGATAAATACAAATTATATCAATAAATTGCCATTGTTACAAGCAAAAGTTTTATAACTGACCTAAATTTAAAATAAAATTGATAAATATAAGTAAAGCGATATAAGGAATTAGTCGCGGTCGTGTCGTGTCGTGTCGTGTAGGCTACTTTCGTTTCCAAGCTGCTCTCTGTCAGTAATAACTGGTCCTTTACATGTAAGAAAGAACTGAGTACTAGCACACGAAGGTGTTGTTGTCGGCCATTTTAGAAGTTTAGTGTCATCAACACAACCTTATTTTCATAGGATTTTTGCACGATCACCTGGAGAAATATGTCTGATCGGAAAGCTGAGTTAGAGAAAAAGCGAAGGCGCTTAGAAGAAATCAAACGAGCTCGAGAAGAAAAGAAAAAGGTGAGAGTTCGCCAAGAACCAGTGCTGTTCAGACTTAGTGATTTCAACTTGCTGTATGTACAAAGCTGATTGGTTAAATAGATCTTAACTGTTCTTGTTTTGGTGCAAATATAAAATGTGCATCAAGGAGATTGCATCAGCTAGAAGGTATACTTAAGATTTGTAAATACGAGTACTTGAATGTACGTAAATTTTTAAAAATTGATCGATAAATCACAGACTGTTGAATGAATATGATCGATTTACGCTTAATACTTGGTGGAGTGATTGAATATCGTTCTCAAAAAGAAAGTATATTTGTGTTTATTCCGCCTATCCCGCTACAAGAAACACTTATTGTCAAATGCAGATGGGTACTTGTAGCTGGATGTACATGTACAGTGGTAAGAATCTTAAGTGCTTAGTCGGGGTGCTGAGAATAACATAAGAACCTCAAATGTTTTTTTTTGGCTGTCCACTTGCTGAAATTGTCGTATTGAAAGATTCTCCAACATTTTTAATCCAAGAAAGTAGTCCTGTGTTGCTTTGATCTTACTTAATCACACTCAATGATGGGTTGAAAGAGAGATAAAAAGAAAAAATACTCAGCCAACAATTAAGACAGAGGACTCAAATAAATTTAACATGGTCAATTTCTCTAGAACCTGAGATCTTATTTGCTCATGGTGATTTTTGCTGTTTTTTTTTTTTCTGGTTGGTCTTTATGATCACTGTGGTTTTGGTCATATGAAACTTGTTCATGGAAGATGATACAAAAATTGTGTTATATTTAAACTCTTTTGTCTCATCAAAACTTTTTTTTATGTTGACGTGCTAATTATCATTGCATTCACAATAATTGTGTAATTATTACTCTTTTCATTATATTGATATTGTTATCCTGTCTCAGTGGTTTTGCTAGTGGTAGGGACTGAAATCTGTCATTTCTCCAATTATCTCTGGATAGGTTGCTTTTTCTTATGCTAGCAGTATGTGGGGCATTTCTCACATATGAGTGTAGTTATTAGATAGCTCTCTGTTTCAATTATGGACTGGAGCATCCAATTTAAAATCATATCTGGCTGTAGGGTTTGATTCTGTTTGGGATAATCCAGGGGTTAAATAGGTTTTTCCATAAGTGGTTGACTGGTAGTGTTATAGGCTGCTGTACCAGAAAAGGGGCTGTTAGACAAAACCTAAACACATGCAGGCTAAATAGAGGTCGTAAGAGGTCTTACAAGTGCAGAAGACTGTCCATAACCTGCTTTTATGGAAATCCCTAGGTAAATTCAGATTTCTTCTACTTCATGCCAAAGTTGTTGTACCTCTTTGTTTATTTGTTTTAATTTCCAATTTTTATAACTTGCAGCAAGAGCAAGAGCAAAGCAAGACAGCGGCTGCACCAAAGGGTGGTGCCAGTGCTACTTCTGCATCAACAGAATCCAAAGAGACTGATATTGAGAGGAAAAAGAGGGAAGCTGATGAGCTGCTCAAGGGAATTATTCCTGATGATGTAATTGATGGCACTGCAGGTCTGCATTGTTTCTTTTCTAAAATCTTTTCTTTTGTTTATCTTTTCAATAACATGAATACATTCATGTTCAAAAGCCATCAACCAAGTTATGAATTTGTTTCAAATTCTGTTCATCATCTTGTGGACTATTTAAAAGAGCACAAGTATCCTACTTGCCAGCTGATTGTGCATCATACAGTCTGTTCTGGTTTGAATCAATAGCAATACCTGAATGAGATATGCTCTCCTGGAAAATGTGAAAAAGTGAAATAACTAAGATGTGCATTCCTTTATTCTGAACCTATGTGGAGGAAGTCCACATTACAGGTCTGCAGTCAGCATGAGAGTTAATGTTATGGTCATCAACCCTTAAACTCCCAAGATCTCATTGGTAAATCTCCTTACTGTCTGCCAAATGATTCTCATGATGTTAGTTGGGAGAATTTGGTATGGGATCAATTAGTAATCCAATAATTGATATTTTTCTTTTCTCATCACTTGTCTGCATGATATTGTATTGATATGGTAAGGAGAAATTCTGTCACTCATGGGAGTTAAAGGGTTAAGTGCTTTGACCAGTGTAACAGTAGCTCTGCGTCAGAATTTCCACTGTTAGAAAGTTCTCAAGGTGAAGGGAACAAAGAGTAATTTACATCTAAAGAGAGAATCAGTTTTGTAGGGACTTCACTAAAGTAGGAGTTTGCTATCTCAAAATGAACAGTTTAAATCAGAAACCTTAAGTGTGTGAGGAGTAATGCAAATGTAGTTTCAGGGTGAGAGCATAAGATTCACTTTGTTTTTGTGACTCACATGCTCAATGTATGAGACTTGTAAGCTCTGTATGACAAATATAGTGTATGACATTCATTCTTGTCGAGTAGCCTTTCTGTCCCCATACTGTACATGAATACTTTAAGCACCAATATCACATATGAGTTATGTCTTTCATTAGTGTCTCCCCTTATACCAAGATCTACCAAAAGTGAAGGAGCCAGCCCAGGTAAAGATGTGACATCAAGGCCTTTGGCACACCAGTAAGTAAATCATGCTGCCTCCAATAATATTATAATTATCTGTTTATTCTTTTCTTTTTTTTACTTCTTTTGAATTGCCTATAGTTAAGGCAAGGAAGAAGTTTATTTCAGTCTCTTTTGGAAGTTAGACATGGAGTTTGTAATATTATTTAACCTTGTGTATGATATTGTGGTGGTTTTGCCATTTTAGGTTATTTCCTCTGTTCTTGTGTGCACTGATTAATTACCAAGCATGAGAAGAGTAACTTGCATATTTTAAGGTCACATACAAAAGTTGTTTGTAGTTTATCAGAGTAAACCTGAAAAGAGCATCATTATACACATGTATTATCTTTTTTCTCTTTGGGGATTTTTCTTGGGGTTCTTCAGTTCTTGCCCCTCCACCAAAACTACAATTTGAAATTCCAAACAGGCCTGAGTGGAAAATACTTACTACTACTTACATACTTACATACTATCACCATACAAGTGTATTCTCTTTTCTGTCTTGGGGGTTTTTTCTTGGGATTCTTTAGTTCTTGTCTCTCCACCAAAACCATAATTTGAAATTCCAAACAGGCCTAAGTAAAATTTACTTTATACCATCATAGTACTTGTGTATTCTCTTTTTCTTGGGGTTCTTCTGTTATTGTCCTTCCACCAAAACCACAATTTGAAATTCCAAACAGGCCTGAGTGGAAAATATTGTATGCCATCATTACACATGTGCATACTTTTTTTTTTTTTGTTCAGTGTTTTTGTCTTAGGGATTTTTCTCTGTGTTCTCCAGTTTTTGATCTGCCCCAAAACCATTATTTGAAATTCTGAGGAGACCTAGGTGCATGCATCTTGTCAAAAGATGTGTTTTTGGCTCCTTGAAACTGCATGGACTAACAAATTGCCTTTTATCTGGCTTGTTGCTTAGTGGTGACAGCTGGCAAAGTTTGCCAGATTAAAAGGTGGCAGTTGGGGGCTGAATTTTTTGATGTTACACACTCACAATTGTTTGATAGCAAATTCTTTCATCTAATTGAAAATATTTATATGTATACCTTACTAACCTGAGTATAAGGGACATTATAATAAAACATTGTATGAGCACTTTTTTATGTGACTTCTTTTCATTTCTTGCATCACTGTTTTGTAAACAGGAAGCCTAGTAATACTGCTATCCTTGTGCTGCCTCACTTTAAAATTTCAGCCAGTAGTTTAATTTCTTAGCTACAACCCTCTTTACTATAGCTAATTTTCCATTTCCCACCAGCCAACTCAATTTATCATTTATCAAATGGTCACTTACTTTCCCTTTAGAGAGAAGAAAAGGCCAGCGAAGTTGGGTGTATCACAGCTTACTCAGACAAATATTCCACCCAAGGTCAGTACCATCACTGTTTCAGTACATTTCTTTCAGCCACTATGCATATCACCTTGTAAAATGTACCTTCAGTAGTGTTACAACCATGCTGATAAGCTACCAGTAATTCAAAACAAGTTTCAGGTAGTGGTGACTTTATATACTTACCAGGACTAGGTTGTTCAAAGCTGGGATAACAAAGGGTTTGTGTGAAATCTAATTTCAAATCTGAAATCTTTAAAATAAAATTCAGTTGAACTCTTTTTGTCCACAAAGGTCTGGATTAAAATTAAAATCAAACCCTGTGCTAGCACTAATCTGCCATCAAACAATTGGGTCTTGGCTCATGTTGTTTAAGGCTGGGTTAAGAATTAATCCTGGGTTTGAGTGAAATCTGATTTAAGATCTGAAAACTTTTAAATAAAATCCAGCTCTTCAATCTTTTTGTCCACCATTTTTATTTTGTTCTCCATTTTTTTTTGTTCTTAAAAGAAAAGCAAAAATTATTCCAAAAAGGCTTTTGAACAAAGGTATGAAGAAACCTGGATTAAATTGTAACCCTTGGTTGGAGCTAATCCACAATCAAACAATTAGGCCCTGGGCCAGGTTGGGTCAAGATAACCCAGGGTTGGTGTAAAATTTGATTTCAGATCTGAACACTTGAAAGAAAATTCAGCATACTTTTTTTGAGTACAATTTGGTGTTTGGATGCTTTGAAGAGAAGAGATAAAATTTACCCAAACAGGTTTTTGAACAGAGGAGTGACGAAACCAGAGTGAAAATTTAAACTGGGGCTCAGAAGTTTAGTTTAATATACCCTTTACACCCTAACATCAGTATGCATATTGTCCATTCTGAATTTTTCTGAATTCTGTACATTTCCATGGGTTCCAACAAGAAAGGCAACAAATTTGGTGTAAATTTTATGTCTTGGGCATAGTACATGAATGCTGAAGAGAAATCTTACACACAGTGTGCAAAGATAAAAAATGCTGTGTCTTTTACATCTTGACACTGAAAAATCATTCTGTACATTTTCATCAGGAACCAGTTTTGTATAACAAAGAAACACAAACTCAAAATGCAGAGCCAGAAGAACCACCTGGTGAGTTAAAGATTTTAAGAGTGTAACTTAGGGTAGCAGTAATTACAAGGTAGGGTGACAGAAGTAATTGCCTATACCACTGACCACTGAAGAAATTTTGAAAAACACCTAAAGTATATACATACAACTGTTTATTATTAAAGATTCCTAGTACTGGGTATTAACACACTGGGTAAACTGCAAACTTGTGCAACAACAAGAAGACACTTTGTCTGTCAGGCCAACCTAACATTTTCTGCAATCTTTAACCCTTTAACTCCCAAGATCTCTTTAGTAATTCTCCTTACTGTCTGCCATATAGTTATTTTGATGTTAGTTTGGAGAATTTGGTAGTGGATCAACTAATAATCCCCTAGTTAATATTTTTCTTTATTCTCGTCACTTGTGTGCTTGATATTCTATTGATATTTTAAGGAGAAATTCCGTCTTGGTCACTCATGGGAATCAAAGGGTTAATTGCCTATAAGCTTTTGATGTCCAGGAACCTCTGAAGGAGACAGTTCCTAGACTAGTTAAAGTGTACCTCTGCCATTGCTGACATTCCCTTTAACTCATCCATGAGCCCACAATCCTACCTGGGGAGGGCAGGGTGGAATTAAGCATCATACCATGTACTACAAGATGGTTAATGTGGTGAAAACTCCATCCAGATCATGGGTGGAATATGTGCCAGAAAAATTCAGAACCATCAGCCACTAACTACTTCAATCCTCTATGTTGTTAACTTGAATAGTTAACATGAGCTGAACAGCAAGTTCTTTAAAATTATTTATTGTTTATTTGATAATTTTTTTAGATGAATTTGAGACTCCAGCTGCACCAAAGCCAAAGGAGACTGAAGCACAACCTGAACCTGAAGATGGAGGAGAAGATGGAAGAGAAGAAGGTTATTAAAGTATTTATTTTGTTTATAAGATACGACATTCAATCCATCTGATCCAGGTTCAAAGGATGGATAATGCTATTCTTTGCACAGATTTGTCTTTTAGATAGTGCAGTACTTTTTATTAACACTAATCCATTGGTTCTTGTTCTCCACCCTTTGAATTAGTGGTCCTACAGTTTTTACAAATACAAGAAGCTACTCCACCTTTATCCTTTTAGTCCATCATTCTTTAAATCAAGCCCTTTGTAAAAAGTCCCTGGAATTTTTCAGTCTTTCAGTTGTTCGTTTTTGAACCAGATAGAACCTTCTTGTTATTAAATGAGGGAACATCACTTTTTTTCTCTGATTCTAATTCACTTCCTCCCCCTGCAGTGCCTGTCATAGAGCTGAAAAACTCCTTGAAATTTAGTTCTCTCTTTCAGTTTGTTGGCTATTTAAAGGTTTTTCATTTTTTTTAACCAGATTGAACCTTCTTGTAATTCAATGAGGGGAGGAAACTTCACCTTCTTTTCGATGATTCTTATTCATTTACTCCCCCTACAGTGCCTGTCATAGAGCTCAGTGATGAACAAAAGGAACAGATATTGAATTCTGGAGAATTCAGCAAGTTCTTTGATAAAGCGACAAGAATGATGGAAAGAGCCTTGTGTGAAACAGTTGATATCACATTTGATTACTCTGGAGCTGAGACAGAGGACACTGAAGGGTAGGTTTTTTTTCTGGTAACCTGTTTATCCCAAAGAGCGACAAATATGTAATTTCTCACAACAGTATCACCCCTGAGTCAAATATCTAGGTTATGAGAATAGAGGAAATGATTATGAACTCAAAAAGCTCTTAGTTGTTAACCCTTTGACTCCCAAGATCTAATTAGTAATTCTCCTTACTATCTGCCATACAATTCTTATGATGTTGGTTCAGAGAATTTGGTATTGGATCAACTAATAATCCCATAATTGATATTCTTCTCTATTCCCATCACCCACCTGCTTGATATTGTATTGATATTGTAAGGAGAAATTCTGTCTTGATCACTTGTGGGAGTGAAAGGGTTAAACAAATTCTCCTTGTTAGCATCTTAGGAAATGTTTAGAGAACAGTATGGAGAATATGCACACTGATCTCCCATGATCCAATTACTTATATCCTGACTGATTGTCATGGGTTCCTCCATAAATTGTACTGGAGGATTCCATTTTAAATCAAGATAAAACTCTCTGGCTGACAGGCTTCTCTGTTCTCATAACCTGTTTGGGAGATATTGAATTAAATTTGCAATGAGGAGTTACAATTTGATCTTCTCTTGTAGTTAAAGATTCAAAGCTTAAAAATCCAGGTTAAGCTCTGGTTGAAATGTTGGTCTATTTGGCCAGTAGGAGTCTTCTCTTAATTTACCTTGCACACTGCTTTTTTGAGTGCTTATCATTGCATTGGTGTATATTTATGAAGTTAATCCTCAGCATTTTTTTTTTCTTTTGTCACAGAGACACACAGGCCTCTGGTAAACTCTCATTCAACCGAGAGTTCTTTGATGAGAGGTGGTCAAGGCATAGGACAGTGACTTGCCTGGACTGGTCAACACAGGTACTGGAGGATGATTGTTTGTTGTTGTTGTTGTGTTCAGTAGACTTCATTTAAAATGTTTAATTTTGTGGAAGAAGAAAAATGTATTGTAGAAGTTGTGGCACCAGAACAACTCCAGAAATGCAAGATTTTACACCCTAAAATCAGTATGCACATTCTCCAAACTGTTTTCTAAACGTTTCCTAAGATAGCGACATGGAGTATTTATCTGACAGTCAAGAGCTTCTTCAGTCGTTGATCAGCTCCTTTATTCTCCTGACCTTAATGTTTGATTCAGGGGTGATATGGTTAGAAGAAATTAGATGTCGGTCACTCTTAGAGGTTAAAGGGCTAACCCTAGACCGCAAGTAGGCCGCCAGTATTAGCGTTTCAGGTCACGTGTTTCTCCGCCGGCGGAAAGATTTGTGTATTAGTGCCAGACCCCTTGCAGACCTCCGCCTGCTCGCGTCGCTCAAGGCTCATACTTTCCCACAAAACGCTCAAGCTGAAGTTTTTACAGTAATCCCCTACCTAGAGGGAGTGAGTATGGATAAGCTTACAAAATTATTTGCTCTCGGACATGTATGTGACATGCAATCATTTTAATCTAACAGCAAAGTAAAAAATGGCGTAAATTGGTCACCCAAAGAGTTTCAAAGCTGACGTTTCGAGCGTAAGCCTTTCGTCCTTCGCTTTGTCGAAGGGCTAACGCTCGAAACGTCAGCTTTGAAACTATTTACAGTGGCCAATTTTCATTGTTTACTCAATGGATAATACCATTAATGTACTTTGCATATTGAGAGCAATGCATACAGATGTAACTTATACAGTGCTTTGTGAGAAACATGATGGCATGACTTTCAGTTACGCCTTGTAAGTAACATAAATATGTGTTTGATGCATTCTTAGTACCCAGAGCTGTTGGTAGCATCGTACAACAACAATGAAGATGCCCCACATGAGCCTGATGGTGTAGCGCTCATATGGAACATCAAATATCAGAAAGAATCTCCGGAATATGTATTTCACTGTCAGGTGAGAGAGTTAGTTACTTACCGGTATGCATTTAATAGTTTTTGCTAAGAGTAGGGACTGAATTTTTTAAAAAAGCTGTAAGGTGTGCAGTAGCCTCAATGTTATAGCGGTGCAAAGACAGCCTAAGTTTAATCAACGTGAATAGTCCATTTTACAGTTTCGTGCTTGGTTGCCAAGCCTCTAAACGGGAGTGAGGCTAAGGGTGACCTTAGCTTGTTATGATACAAACGTTGCTGCTTTTCAAATGCAAATGACTTTGTCATCATGCTAACTTGATACTGGTCTCCATCACAACAAGGTCACCTTCAGCCTCACTCCAAGTCAAAGGCTTGGCAACTAAGAACACTACTGTAAAGGGCATCGCAAGGAATATCTATCATGCTGAATATAGGTGCATGTATTATACGTATCAGCTGAAATTGAAGCCCCCTTTGCCAAAACATGAAGTCTAGTTTTGATAAGTCGTGCTTTGATATTCCCTCTTGTTATACTTTTGACTTGGATATTTATTTTTTAAATGGTACGCTTTCTTGTCCATCATGCAAAAATATCGCACATATATCAGGCGAGATTAGATATATTAGATATGTTAGATATAGCCTTAGTACTTTAATCCCACAGCTACCCTGTGTCTTTCAGCCATTTTTAAGACCATCGCGTTGAATTACAGATCTGATAATTCCTTTCCATTTCAGTCTGGTGTGACGTCAGTTACCTTTGCCAAGTTTCATCCCAATTTAATCGTTGGTGGGACATATTCAGGCCAAATTGTATTGTGGGACAACAGAAGCAGTAAAAAGACACCAGTACAGAGAACACCTCTCTCTGCCACTGCACACACAGTAAGTGAATTCTATGTTAATTTTGTTTTCTTTCTTTGGTGTTTGGATGTCAGGGCTAAGTAAATGTCTGTAAAAAGTTATCTTTATTTTTCTGAGCAAGACCTCTAAGTGATAGCTAAATAAACCGTAACGATTCGATTTAGCGCCCTCGTTCGTTCCTCTCTCTAATAAGTGCCCCCTCCGATTTGATTTTGTTAATAAGCGCCTATTCTATTTGTGTGATAGCACTCTTAAAGTACTGCACATTGAGATCAAACGTGGTTTATTGGTTTCTTAAAGCCTCATTTTAAAAGCGGTTGCCTTTGTCTTAGTTTCTCCACTATCACGTCCATGTGAGTGTACAGTTATTTCTAACGACTGATCTAGTCTTCAAATCTTTCGGCGATTGCTTGGCTGGGTGTTCGAGCCAGGAAGGATTCAGGGATAACAAGTCCCGTTTTCCAGTCTTCTTGATCCTCTTCACATAAACAGCAAAGCTTTGTCTCGTACATTGTGCTGTTTCTCCAAAAAAGGAATTAACACCCTATCCTTAATAAAACGCAAATAAGCGACCAGGCACTAAATCGAATCATTACGTTGTGCAAATGAATTTTCAATTTGTAGATTTGATCATACATGTATTTTATTCCCTTTTGTTTTTGGTACTGATATGTGTAAGAATGAGTTTCAAACTGAAAGGATGAACAGTGTATCTGTTGAAAACGGATGAAATTGAAACGCAGCATCTTCATGAACATTTTATCTGACTGTAAAGAGAAACAAAACAAGAAAACTTGTACTGTTTTGTTACTGCTGTTTTTGTTTGTTTTTTTCATAACGATTGTGTAATTAGATGGTTTCTTTTCTCTGTGTAGCATCCGGTTTATTGTGTGAATGTGGTTGGAACTCAAAATGCTCACAATTTGATCAGTGTCTCCACTGATGGAAAGATGTGTTCTTGGAGTCTTGACATGTTGTCACAGCCCCAGGTGAGTCAGCGGTTATGTTAACAACTTACTTCAGCTTGTCATATCACGACAAAACTAGACTCTCAACTGACTAGGGTCTCTTTCGTGAGTGACGAATGGTCACTCTTACTTATGTTGTGGTCAACTGTTGTCAGCGGACACTGTCCGTCTCAGTAAAACTGCACTTCCGCATAGTAAAACTGCACACAACCTGATGTTTGCTCTTTTGGGGAGGCTCTTTTATGGTTTGACCAACTTGAAAAATTTAGTTGGTAATTGCTTTTCAAAGTCCCCATTCGTAATCCGTGTTGGGGCGCTTTTCGATCGAGAGTCGTAAAACCAAAGCAAATTTCTCGACCATTGTGAACTCAAAGTGACAGCAAGCAAACTGCTTCATGCATGGGGAAACGCAGGTTACCATGTCGCGATTGGTAGTAGTTTTAAATCTGTTTGGTTGAGAAAGTGGCGCTGGTTTTGTGGTTACATTCTGTTCTCTTTTTGGTTTACTTTTTCCTTCTCGGTGTTTTTCTTCCTCAGCGAATGATAATTTCAATCTTTTATTTCATTTTTGACCTTAAAATACCCCAAATATTATGCTATAGCTCCATTTAGCACTTGCCGTAAATGTTCTTCCTTGCCATCTCTGTTTATTTCAGGACAGCATGGAGCTTCAATTTAAACAGTCCAAGGCTGTGGCTGTGACGTGTTTATCGTTTTTGGCCGGTGATGTCAATAATTTTGTGGTTGGGAGCGAGGAGGGCTCGGTTTACACAGCCTGTCGACATGGAAGGTAAGCTTAACTTGCGCATATTTGAGATTGTCTTGAACGCTGTACACCTTATTTTACAAATGCAGGACATGCAGGAGAACGCTGGTGCGTAATCATCATAACGAGAACTTTCTAATGAACGAAAATATATATTTTTAAACACTTCTTGACGCAGTAGAACGTATGAAGAGGTGACAGTGATAAGAAAAGTCAGACCTTACAAGGCAGAGGCACTGTGACAAAAGCACCAGGAGACCGTTATTTACTTTGTAAAATGTTTCTAAGAGTCGGCAATGCTGAAAGATTAGATGTATATGATGTGTTTAGCTTACTTTAGTGATAATTGCTCTGTGGTTTTTCAATATTAAGGGTGTTGGGGCTTTCTATGATCTTTCTAAAGCTTGAAGTGCGTGGCTGCTTTGAGCGGCGACACCGTGAGAGATACGGAACAGAAAACTGTGATAAGTTTCGCCACTGGAAGCTACGTTGTTCATTTTCCTGCTCCCGCCGCCTTTGTTTCCATAGAGCGCCCCCACCCACCCTCCTCCCCCCTGAAAAAAACGCCACGAATTTTAAGCTTTATCTGGATCAACGTAACGTATTAGCTCATTTTTCTACAACTGCGCATTATGTTTCTCAAAGAGCATTCGTATGATTCAACTGTTTCGGAATTGTGCCAAACTCAAAATGGATGAAATCCTTGTTTACTTATATTTTATAGTAAAGCGGGAATCAGTGATATATTTGAAGGTCATTATGGACCAGCGACAGGCATTGATACTCACTCGGCAGCAGGACCTATTGACTTCTCTTACCTGTTTTTGACATCTTCATTTGATTGGACCATCAAACTGTGGAGTCACAAGGTAAGGTTTTTAAACAGAAATTTTCGAACGACTCTCTTACATCTGCCTTTCTATTTTCCTAAGTCATTGAATGCTCGCCAGGAATCACGGAGTTCTAATCCTTGTACCGGGCAAGATGACGTTGTACGAAAGGAAAAAGGCATTGCTAACATTACAAGGATAAAAAAGATAACTGGCACGGGTTCGAATCCATTCTCGTAGTGGCGCTGCTTCACGAAATCATCTCACGCTCCTCGTCGAGCCCGTGGAATGTCTGTGTACTCCTTCCGACAGCGAGTGAAGCAGGCTGGCTCGTCTCTCTCTGCGACTTTGTATAGTGTTTGTCCTACGTTGTGATTGTCCAGCAGCGCCATTGAGAGTCTGCGCATCGGCTAAATCCTCAAGGGGTATTTCGCTTTCCCTTCCCTTAACAAAAAGTTTTAAACATCTTTATTGACAGTGTTATATTTATTGGCAGAACCCACGTCCGCTGTACTCTTTTGAAGACAATGGCGATTATTTGTATGACGTACAGTGGTCCCCAATCCATCCTGCTTTGTTTGCTGCCGTGGACGGAACAGGAAGACTGGACCTGTGGAATCTTAACAACGACACAGAGGTAAAGTGGTTATGAACTTCCATTCTGTTTCAACGATTAGATTATGTACTCGATGTAGTTGATGAGGGCGAAGGCCGAAACTATTTTCATGTATAGAAATCGAGCGTGAAAAATGTAACTCATTCAGCATAAAGCTAAAAAGCTACATGAACCAGTCGTTTCAAACTGAAAAGCAAGATAAGCTTGTGATTTTTACTGAATAATGGTACAAAGCGGTCACGTCATGTGCTGATAACTGGCAAGCGCACTTCACTCACCATCTATCACAGAATAGATAGCGAGTAGCGTAGCCAATCACAAAGCAGCAATTGTTGTAAATCGCAAGTAGAACTATACTAAAGAAGACATAACAGCATGCAGAAACGGCAGTATTTGACATGTTTCTCTCAAGGTAAGTTAACTCGCGTCTTTTTTACTGCAACTGGAACGATCAGCATTGCTCTTCGTGTTTTCATTACGAAGCTTCATAGGTCATTAGGATATCCGTAGTATAAACAGGGCCCTATAGCTTGTGAAATTTCGGAAAAGTCTTCATGTGGAATGATCTTACGAACAGACCTTGAAATAATGTCGAGTCGTCGGTCAAACTTATTGATCGGAAAGCCCATTTTTGGGCGAAAAAAGTGACCATTGCGCCATATCGTTCTCAAACTCACTAATAATTCATGCTGAGAAAACAAGGGAAATTGCAACCGTGATGGAGGTTTGGATATGTGATCTTAATTATCATAAAATTTGGTGAACTTTTGCTTTGATTTTCTCCAAGAATTATTAATAGTTTGAGAAGCTTTATCAAACCTTCGAAAGGGTGTTTCACCCGATATCCAAACACCTTGAAATTGGTTGAAAAAAACGAGGCGCAGCCGAGTTTTTTTCAACCACTTCTCGGTGTTAAGATATCGGATAAAACACTCTTCCTCGTGTTTGATATATTACTTGAAAATGCCTTCCCCACCCCCTACATTGTGATGTTTACATTTGAAAGTAGTACATTTCCACGCCTTTAAGTTTATTGTTCATGCAGCCTCGAACTCAATGCAGGAATAGTGGAACGCACGGTACAGCAGCAAAGTTCGGAAAAAAATTGATATTGATATGATTGTCGTAATAATACAAGCTAACTCATGTGAATATACAATATGAATAAAATATGTGGTCAATGTTCGAGATGAATCATTTAATTGACATAAAAAGAGAATAAACATAGGCGCGCGCAGGTATTGAATTTCTCTTCGAATTTCCAATATCGATATCAGAGTGAGCGTATCGAGCACTCAATCGATGTGTAGGAAACATGGTACATGTACTAAGTTAGTTGTAAGCACTTCTTCCATCGGGTTTAAAAGTAGCTCTTTCTGTGGCACGCACTCATTTGAACTCATGATGCACCTTATTCGTGCTCATATTCAGTCAGTTGTAAAATTTATTATGCCAATATTACACATTAGAGATATGTTTCATTGTTGCGTAATCATATTCTTCCCGCTGCGACCAAATGTATTCCACGTGAACGCTTTTGAAAGTCTAGTTGCGATCTAATATGGCGTATTCTAAATATCGAAAAATCCTGTTCGTTTGTCGAGGGAATACTTGTCGGTCTCCCTCCGCTAAAGCGATTTTAAGGCATCTTTTACAGGAACATGAAGATAGGAATGAATGGGAGATTGACAGCGCTGGAACTCTTGGTTTTCGTGAAGGACTCTTATCGGACGAACGGGGGTTGCAAGTGTTGAAGAAACATGAAATTGCTAGCAACCACCGAGCAAGACAAGTAAACGAGGATGATTTTCGTCGTTTTGATGTAATATTGGCCTTTGATGAGAGCAATGTGCGAGATCTGAATGAAACTTTTAAGCCAAATGATGGTACTGCGCGAGCGGAGGTTAAACTGTTTGGAACATATGATCCTAAAGGAGAGTTGATAATACGTGATCCTTACTATGGAGACATTTCAGATTATGAAGTCATGTTCGATCATGTTTACAGATGCTGTGTGGAGTTTTTGAAACAGTGTTAGCGAAAGACTTGATGATGTTTCAATCATTGGGCCAGTAATTTAGCTTTTTATTTTTACACACTGAAAAGGAAATGCTCAATTCCAAGCGTTTGTGGTGGGTGCAATGTGGATATCTGAAAACCGCAACACCGTGAAAAAAGAACATCAACGCCGCAATATGTTTTGTATCCATGCATGATTAAACACACGCACACACAACTGAGTATATAGCAAAGCCATTCTACGTTTTGGAATGAATAGTGCATTAAGTTTATTAAAGGCTTGAACTAGCGGCCGATCAAAGGATAAAGTCCGGTCACATTGAAAAGGTCTTGTTAGGTCAAATCCTTGGATAGCACAGTTTAGACGGTTTTTCATGCCTGTGAAGCAAAATTTAATGCAGAGGTTCAGGTTTAAAATGTTAAAGGTTCGACATTATTTGCGTTTGTGAATAAAAGGGGTAAAGACCGAATGAGATACTACCAGACCAATAATTTTTACCTTATTTTGTCCGCGAATCAGTGGGTCTTCATAAATAGCGATGTAAATTCGCATGTTTTGTTTGCTTGAATTTGATTGACGTCGCGTGACGTGACGTGAAAAGGATAACAATGCCTCTCAGTTTTTGTATTAAAACATATTACGATTTAAGCTTATATTGTATCGGATATAACCATCGGGCATGAATTCTATTAGTAAGGGTTTCTTGATGTATACTCGCATCAGGTAGCTTGTATTTTTACGAGAATCAAGTAAATGGCAAGCTTCAATTTCATTTACTTCGTAACTTTGGTGTTGAAATTTATAATATGATAATCGTATGAAGGACATAGAACTGAAGCGATATTGATTTTACCGAACGTTGCGGCTTGGTGTAACGCAATTCTTATGTGGTATGTGTAAAAAAAAAACCAAACAAACAAAGCTAACCACGTCTCCTCACTCCACCTCTGTTCGTCATCTTTTCTAGGTACCAACAGCGAGCACTAGCGCCGAATCAATGACGTCACTTAATCGTTTACGATGGACGCATTCTGGTCACCAGATCGCCGTGGGTGATGATGACGGTCACGTATTCATCTATGATGTTGGCGAGGTAAGTACTAGCGTTTTGTATAACACAGGCGGAGAACTTAGTAAGTGTGTTAACTACATACTCACGTAGAGCAGGAAATAATTACTGTTTTCAAAGTATCGTGATCAGAAACTGTCAGTTCAAGAAAGTAAAATTAAATATTATGCACTAAGTTTGTAGGGTTTTTTTTTTGCCTCTCTGAGTCGCGTAAAACGCCCTGTTATTGAAACATTATCAACCTTTGGGTATATATGTAGCAGGAGGAGAACTACGCTGTTTCATCGAAATTTCAGCTTACTTATTTCATGTTTTCAGAGAACGTTGCCTTCAAAATTCTACTGTTCAGTGCTTCATTGGTAACCGCCATAATGCTCATAGCCTGCACACAAGCCCTTATAATAGCACTGCGGGACGGGTGTTTTTCCACCCGCGGAAAGATTTGAGACGAGTAGGGGGAAGGTTACCCAAGGGTCGGGTACCATTATCAGAGCAAACCTCTCGCCTTGCGTTTGTCAGGGCCACATACCTACCCGCGGGGGTGGGTGGGAACGAGGCAGAAACGCCCGGGCCGAAGTACTAATAATGAGGGCCAGCTCCCAGGGTGGTCTATCTGTGGTGATAAGAGATTCCTTGTCACATAGTTCAGAAGGTCTCAATGGGGTGATGGCTTAAAATTTTGGCTATTTTACGGCTAAATGTCAATATCAGCCAGCAAAGCAGGCGTCTTATAAGAGCGAGTTAACGTAAAGAAGCGCGCTTTCGTTTATTCAACCGGCCTTGTTTGATTTGGAGTCAGAGTCGAGGGTTGGGGAGGGGGCGGGAAAAGGCGAAAAAACGCGTAATATTCACTCCCCAACCCCCATCCCTCTCCTTTTTTTTACCGTCTCTCATCCCCTGGGTACAAATTTCTTTCTCTCCCCAGCCTTCCGCTGCTATTTAAATCAAAGGTGACAGCCATAATTTTCGCTGGGAAAAAACTGAGCACTCGCTCCCCAAAATTACGCCCTCACTGCAGGCTAGGTTAATAGCATTCCATTGTTTTCACCGGAAAGTTTGTTTTGGTTACCTCTTTTTGCGACTATTAGTTTAAATTTGTCAATTTACACTAAATTTTTTGGCCGTATTACTGCTTACGTCACGGTTAAACCCATCGAGACCTATAGTTTACGCTTATTCTCATTTTTCTCTATTTTCTTGACTTGTTTTAGCAACTTGCTGTCCCAAGAGTGGATGAATGGTCAAGATTTCAAAACACCATTCATGAGATCCAAGCGAATGCCTCATCCAACATTGGCGAAATAGGCTCCCCCAAAATGTCGCCGTCCAAGATGCCATTTAGTTGATTTTATTTCCGCTGTAATTCTGAGATAATAATGCAGTAGGACTGTAATATAACAGAACTGAGTCAGCCATGCTAGGAAAAGGACTCAGTTGTTTTCTCAGGGAGACTGGAATGAAGGTCGTGAATAGGGATGCTTCATGTTCTTTATATTATTATTTGTTCAGGTTTTAGAGATGTTAGACTAGTCTATCCACATTTTGCGTGCTGAAGAGAGAGAAATAGGTTAAATGGTGTATTGTCCTGGCAGATGTAAGTTATATTTGTCCTTTTTCGGTTGATTTTAGCAATTTTCTGAAAAGTTTCGAATTTTGCCCGAAACGTACGAGACAACTTTAACTCAGAGTATGAGAATGTGTCTGAAAATAATTTTGAAAGTTTTTTTGGGTTATTGCGCACTGAGGATAGGGCCTCAACGGTCACAAGTCTTAAATGTGTTTCCTATCGTGAGAGAATTTGACACGTGGTGATTCTGTTAACCTGGAGAAGCTTTAGAAGTAAAATTTTATATATTTGTGGCGGTCTACTGCAAGAAATAAAGATATCTGTCAACCACATCTCAAGAAATGAGTTGAAAGTTTATCTCACCGGAAATATTAAGCTTGTTATGGTGTGCTTAGTTAATTATATGGTGGGGGTGGCCGGCGAGCTAGTCTCCTTCGCGGTCGTTGTTTGGTCTCGTCACGCAACGTTCTCTTCCGCGTTGGTGGGGAAAGAACGTTGCGTGACGAGACCAAACAATGGCTATGAAGGAGACTAACTGCGAGCAGGCCCTAGTCATCAGCAATCCAGGACGCGTGTTTCTCCGCCCGCCCGCCCGCGGGAAGATCAGAGACGAGACGGAAAGAGGTCTGCCAGTGGGGTCGCGTCAGAGTAACATCGCCAAACAGGAGGTCGCATCTTCAGGTTTCTTTTATGAAGACGTCACGTGTACGGCCCGATGGTGCCGGAAGTTGAGAAATATATTTGGCGAAACAATTTCGTTCCTATACGGTCTGGGTTATATTCACGTACTTTATGTAATCCGATGGGGTCCGACTTACTCGTTTCCAAGTGTAAATTTCAGTAATCGTTCGATTTCGGAAATATTAATCCCATATTTTTTGTATTCATCATTGTGTCCATGCAAGTTTTATTGTAACATCTACCGAACGGAGGACACGCTGGGAATTAACATCTGTACG